CCTCAGTTTGACAGAGAATATCTACCAAAAAAACCCTACAGCTGTGAAGTCAAAGACAAATATCCTATGATATCACTTACATGTGGAATCTAAGAAAAGCCTACAAATGTACTTATCTACACAACAGAAATAGAGTCACAGATGTAGGAAATAAACTTACGGTTACCAAGGGGTAAGGGGGAGAGGGATAAATTGGAAGATTGGGATTGACATATACACTCTACTATATATAAAATAGATAACTAACAAGGACCTATTGTATAGCACAGGGAAATCTACTCAATACTCTGGAATGGCCTATATGGGAAAAGAATCTTAAAAAGAGTAGGTATATGTATAACTGATTCACTTTGCTGTACGCCTGAAATTAACACAACATTGTAAATCAACTATATTCCAAAAAAATTTTTTTAAAAAACCCTACGGCTAACATCATACTTCATGGTGATCATACTTGGCTTTCTCACTAAGATCAGATTCTAACCAAAGGTAACCCCTCTCACCACTGCTTTTCAGCATTGTACGCAAGTCCTAGCTAATGTAAGAGCACAAGAATATAAAATAAAAAGGTATACGGATTGTGAAGGAAAACATAAAACTGTCATTGTCTGCAGATGACATAATTGTCTTCGTAGAAAGAATCAACAAAAAACTCCTGGAACTAAAAAGTGATTAGAGCAAGATTGCAGAATACAAGGTTAATGTACAAAAGTCAATTGCTTTCCTATATACCAGCCATGAACAAGTGGGTTTTGAAATTAAAAACACAGTACCATTTGCATTAGCACCAAAAAAATAAAAAGAAGTGCTTCGGTATAAAACTAACAAAATATGTACAAGATCTATATGAGGAAAACTAAAAACTCTGAGGAACAAAAATCTAAGAACAGGGAGTTCTTCCACTGTCACTGGCCTAGGTTCAATCCCTGGTTGGGGAACTGAGACCCCGCAAGCTGCCTGGCATAGCAAAAAAAAAAAAAAAATCAAAGAACTCTATATGGAGAGCGATTCCGTTTTTATGGATTGGATTACGGAATCTGGTCAAATTATCAATTCTTTCCAACTTGACTGAAAGATTCATTGCAATCCCAATCAAAATCCCAGCAATTTACTTTGTGGATATTTTCAAACTGACTCCATACTTCATGAGAAGAGAGAAAAGACCCAGTACAGCCAATTCAATATTGAAGGAGATAAATAAGTCAGAAGACTAACATTACCTGACTTCAAGACTTAGTATAAGGCTACACTAATCATGACAGTGTGGTATTGGCAAAAGAACAGACAAATAGGGTGACGGAAAAGAACAGACAACGCAGAAATAGACTCACATAAATACATCACCTGATTTTTGACAAAGGATCAAAGGCAATATAATGGAAAAAAGACAGTGTTTTTAACAACTGGTGCTGAAACAACTGGACATCCACATGCAGAAAAAAAAATTAATCTAGACACAGACCTTACACCCTTCACAAAAATTAACTCAAAATGGATCATAGACCTCAATGTAAAACACAAAACTATAAAACTCCTAGAAGATAACATAAGAGAAAGTCCAAATGACCTTGAGTTTGGTGAAGACTTTTCAGATACAATACCAAAGGCACAATTCATGAAAGAAATCACTGATAAGCTGGACTTCATTAAAATTAAAATTTTCTGCTCTGCAATAGATAATGTCATGAGAATAAAAAGACATGCCACAGGGCTTCCCTGGTGGCACAGTGGTTGAGAGTCCGCCTGCCGATGCAGGGGACACGGGTTCGTGCCCCGGTCCGGGAAGATCCCACATACCGTGGAGCGGCTGGGCCCGTGAGCCATGGCCGCTGAGCCTGCGCGTCCGGAGCCTGTGCTCTGCAACGGCCTGTGTACCGCAAAAAAAAAGAAAAACAAGACATGCCACAGACTGCAAGAAAACATTTGCAAAAGACATATCTGATAAGGACTCTTATTCAAAATATAGAAGGAACTCTTAAAACTCAATGATAAGAAAACAAACAAACAACCCAGTGATAAATTGGACCAATGGCTTCAATGGACTCCTCACTAAAGGAAATATAGAGATGGCAAACGAACATATGAAAAGACGCTCCACATCGTATGTCATCAGAGAAATGTAAGCAAAGACAACAATGTGCTACCACTACACACCAGTTAGAAAGGCCAAAATTCCAAACACTGACATCCAATGCTGGTGAGGATGTGGAGCAACAGGAACTCTCATTCACGGCTGGTGGGGATGTGAAATGCTGCAGCCACTTTGGAAGACAGTTTGGTGGTCTCTTATAAGACTAAACACACCCTTACCATACAATGCAGCAATCACACTACTTGTTATTTACCGAAAGAAGCTGAAAACTTATGTCCACACAAACATCTGCACACAGATGTTTATAGCAGCTTTATCAATAATGACCAAAACTTGGAAGCAACAAAAATGTCCTTCATTAGGTAAATGTATAAATAATCTGGGGTAGATTCCAACAATTGAATATATTCAGTGCTAACAAGAAATGAACTATTTAGCCATGAAAAAACATGGAGGAGACTTAAGTGTGTATTACTAAGTATAAGAAGCCAGTCTGAAAAGCCTACATATTGTATGATTCCAAATATATGACATTCTTGAAAGGATAAAACTATGGACACAGTAAAAAGATCAGTACTATCAGGGGTTAGGGAAGATGGAGAGATGAATAAGTGAAGTATGGATGACTTTTAGGGCAGTGAAACTACTGTGTATGATACTGAAAAGGTGGATATGTAATTATAATTTGTCCAATTTGTCCTATAGAGTATAAAACAGTACAAGTCAACCTAAGGTAAATTATGGACTTTGGATGATAATGATGTGTCAATGTAGGATCATTAGTTTTAACAAAGTACCACTTTAATGGGGAATGTTGATATTGGGGGAGCCTACGAAAGGTAGTAATTTTAGGGACTTTCCTGATGGTTCAGTGGCTAAGACTCTGTGCTCCCAGTGGAAGGGGCCTGGGTTCGATCCCTGGTCAGGGAACTAGATCTCACATGCTGCAACTAAGAGTTTGCATGTTGCAACTAAAGATCCCACGTGCTGCAGCTAAAAATATCCTGTGTGCTGCAACTAAGACCTGGTGTAGCCAAATTAATTAATTAATTAATTAAAAAAAAAATTCTGGGGAAAAAAAAGGTAGTAATTTAAAAAAAAAGAAAATGTTGTCAGTGACCAGACCATGAAAAGCCTTATAAACCTTTAAGGAGACTGGATCTTATCCTAACAGCATTAGGAAATGGCTGGTGAATGTTGTATTAGTTTCCTATAACTTCTGTAACAAATTATCACAAACTGGGGACTTAAAACAAGAGGAATTTATCCTCTCATAGTTCTAGAGGCTAAAAGTCCAAAATCGGGACTTCCCTGGTGGTCCAGTGGGTAAGACTCCGCGCTCCCAATGCAGGGGGCCCAGGTTTGATCCCCGGTTGGGGAACTAGATCCCGCATGCATGCCGCAACTAAAGATCCCGCATGCCGCAACGAATTTCCCGAGTGCAGCAACTAAGACACGGTGCAGCCAAAATAAATAAATTAATTAATTTTAAAAAATAAAAGTCCAAAATCTAGGTGTCAGCAGTCCCCTGCTTCCTTTGAAAGCTCTAGGGGATTTTTTTTTTTTTTTCCTCTTCTGTCTTCACCTGGCTCCAATGGTCCTTGGCTGTGTCTGCCAAGGAATCCCTCCAATCTCTGCTTCTATCTTCACAGGGCCTTCTTCTCTGTGTATAAGGAGACTTGTCATTGGATTTAGGGCCCACCCAGCTAATCCAGGATGATCTCCTGGATTAAGTTAAGATCCTTAACTTAGTTATATCTGCAAAGACCTCTTTTGCAAATAGGGTCACATTCACAGATTCCAGGGATTAGAACACGGACATAGCTTTTTGGGTACCACCATTCAACCTACTGCGATATTAAACTACGTAACACACACCTGTAGGGTTGCTGAGTTAGTTAAGACTCTTTAAGTGATGTTTGAAACCTCCTCTGGCTAAACCAAGCAAAGAAAGGGGGTGGGGGAAAGAAGGTTACTGGAATATTACTGGGAAGGTCACAAAATTGAAGAAAAGTGAACAAGCTGGCCTTAGAGAGGCCCAGGGCAGCGCCAAGGATCTCATCAGTGAGAATTCATGAATTATGCTTTAGATCAGGCATTGGCAAGTATTATTTTCTATGAATGACCATGGTCTGTGTTAATATTTTCAGCTTTGCAGGCTATACAGTCTCTGTCGCAACTCCTCAACTCTGCTGTTGTTTGTGAAAGCAGCCATAGAGAAGATGTAGGTGAACGAGTATGGCTGTTTTCCAATATTTATTCCATGTTCATTAACAAAATTTTCCAACTTGATTTTTAAAAACAGGAAACGGTCTGATTAGTCTCCTGCAAGCCATATGCCCACAGTACTGTGATAGAGGCACCCACCAAGACCAGATGAAATGCTGAAGCAGTCGTTGCCCACAGGAAAATCAAGATGCCCCTACCAAAAAGAGAGGGGAAGATACTTCCCAGTATCCTTGTATCTGGATCAGCGAATGAGTGTAGGGATGGGCCAGGCATGGAGGACCCCACAAGAGTAAGAACCACCATAGTTGCAGCTCTCATGAGGCTCACAGTCAAACTGAGATGTACACCAATCAAAGATGTATACCGTGAGTGTACAGTAATAACTGAGACACACACTCCAAAGGAGAGAACATAGGTTGACATTAGGGTTTCTCAACCTCAGCACTATTGACATTTGGGACTGGATAATTCTTTGTTTTGGGGGCTGTCCTGTGCCTTGTAGGATGTCAAGTAGTGCCTTGGACTATATCCACTAGATGCCAGGATCAAGCCCCACCCTACCTTTCAGTTGTGACAACTAAAAATATCTCAAGACACTACCAAATGTCCCCTCAGAAGGGCATAATTGCTCCTGGTAGAGAACCACTGGTCTACAAGGAAATGCGGTAGGGCAACCTACCTTCTTCTGGCGAATCAGGAGGGCTACTCCAGGGGAATGATGTATGCGTTGAGGTCTGAAGCGTGAATAAAGGTCACCTAAAAAAGGAGAGGAGACAATCACAAACCAGATGAGACAACAGCAAATGCAAAGGTGTCTGTGGCTGGAGAGAGCATATGGCATGCTGAGGAATTCAAAGAAGGGTTACAAGAGTGGACCCGAGCATGTGTAGTTTGGACTTTTGTGAAGCCACTGAGAGGTTTTAGCAGAGCAGTGACAGTAACATAGCTAAAACAAACAAAACGAGAGAGCTGAAAGCAACAAAAAACCAAAACACTTGTGGCAGTGGAACCAAAGAGAACAAGAGAAGATATTTGGGAGGCTATAGCTACAAACTTGGTGAGAGGTGAAGACAGAGAAAAGTAAAAAGATTCAATATTAGAGGCATTAGGTGATGGATTGGAAATGAGCTAAAGGGGACAAGTTTCAGATGTGACTTTTAGGTTTCTGACTTGGGCAGAACTGGTGGTACCATCCACCAAGGTCAAGAGCATAGAAAAAGGACCAGGGATGGGTAAGGATGGGTGAGGGAGCCAATGATATCAACCTTGCACAGGTTGCATCTGAAATGCCTTCAAGACAGACAAGGGGAATTGTCGATTGGGAGGTGGCTATAAAGATCTTGAGCCCAGAGGAGAAATCACGGCTGGGGGAGATATACTTGGGAGTCCTCAGGACAAAATGATCACTAAATCTGTGGGTGCAAACATAGAGTGAGAGAGAAGGTCTAGAACCAAGCCCTAAGATCTCCAACATTTAATGGCCAAGACGAGGAGACAGCACTGGCGAGAGAGACCAGAGACCAAGGAGTGAGACAGAAGGGCAGCCAGCGGAGCGTGGGGAAGCGTGTGTCCTATGAAGGAAGGCATGGTCAACAATATCAAAGGCTGCTGATGTCAGAGAAGGGGCAAAAGACTGAGAATGGACCCCTGGTCAGTGACCTTGGAGGCCTGGGTGACCTCAGCAAGAGCTTTTCCGTGAGTGATGAGAGTAAAAGCCAGACTGGAGGTGACTGAGGAATGAAGGGGAGGTGAGCCAGTGTAGACTTCGCTGGGGAGGAAAGAGAGGTGGAGAGAGAGATTAGTGCTGGGGCTGCTGGTGGGAATGTAAACTGGGGCAGCCTCTGTGGAGAACAGTATGGAGGTTCCTCAGAAAACTAGAAATAGAACTGCCATGTGACCCAGCAATTCCACTCCTGGGTAGAGATCCAAAAAAAACCAAAAACACTAATTCAGAAAGATATTAATACATGCACCTCAGTGTTCACAGCAGCATTATTTACAATAGCCAAGATATGGAAGCAACCTAAGTGTCCATCAACAGATGAATGGATAAAGATGACATGGTATATATATATGTGTGTGTGTGTGTGTGTGTGTGTGTGTGTGTGTGTGTGTGTGTAATGGAATACTACTCAGCCATAAAAAAGAACAAAAATTCTGGTGGGGGGAGATAAATTAGGAGTTTGGGGTTAACAGATACACACTACTATATATAAAATAGATATACAACAAGGACCTACAGTTTGCACGGGGAACTACATTCAATATCTTGTAATAACCTATAATGGAAAAGAACCTGAAAATGAATATAGATCTATCTAGATATGTATATTCTTTATACATATATATGTATAAATATATACATCCCGTTGCTGTATGCTTGAAACTAACACAACATTGTAAATTAACTATACTTCAATTTAAAACTATTTTTTGAAAAAGGACGGAATTTTGCCATTTGCAGCAACATGGTTGGATTTGGAGGGTGTTATGCTAAATGAAATAAGTCACACAGAGAAAAGACAAATACCGTATATCACTTATATGGTGAATCTGAGAAATACAGCAAACTTTCGAATATAACAAAAAAGAAGCAGACTCACAGACACAGAGGACAAACTAGTGCTTACCTGTGGGGAGAGGGAAGTGGGGAAGGGCAATATAGAGGTAGAGATTTAAGTCGTACAAACTATCATGTATAAAATAAGCTACAAGGATGTATTGTACAACACAGGGAATACAGCCAATATTCGATAATAACTATAAATGGAGTATAACTTTAAAAAATTGTATATAAATAAAGTTAAGTGCTGAAGTTGGGTGAGGCTGGGGAGGGTTGGGGAGTTCAAGCCGTGGGTATTGGGGCATTTAGAAATGTCAGTGGGAAGGATCCAGCTGAGAGGCAGAAAATGATCATGAAGAAGGAGGGGTACGGTGGATGGTGTGAGACCTCTGAGAAGGAAGGAGGCCATGGAACCCAAAGTTCTGCTGGAGGAATTCTCGTGAGACAGGGGAGCTCCCTCTCGGATAACGGGTGAAAGGAGAGAACAATAGTGAGGCTGGCCTGGTTGGCAGGAAGTTAATGAGAAGAAAAGAATGGGCAGACAGGGGTGGAATACAGTGGACCCATTTTGGGGAATGGCTACTCAGTCTCTTTTTTTCCCCTCTGGAAATTGCCCCTTCTTCAGGTCTACATGGGAAACAAAAACGGCGGAAAGCTGAATGCCACTTTGTCCAACACAATACTGTCCCCTGGCCGCTTTTGATTAGTCCAGGAATAGACACTGCATGCAAACTGGGTCAATCAGAATCCCTGTAAACATGGTGGGACCCTGGCAGCCAGTTTGCATCATACCATAGCCCTCTCTTGGCCCAGGCAAAATAATTTTCTTGATTCACGGATAGACACCTCATCCAGTCCATGAAATTGGACGTGAAGCTAGGATATTCAGTCTTATCCCGGACAAATTTTTGCATAGTGGGGATGGAAATTTAGGAGATTTTGATGGTTGCAGTTTCTCATATGTAATGCATAGGGCATGGAAATGCATACGGCATTATTTTGTTGAGAGGGAGATCGAAGCAGAGGCAGAGGAGAAGCATTTATGAGAAGGAGGGTCCTGAGAGCTCTCCAGACCCTAGTTCCAGTCTTTCCCTGACTATATGTTCTTGCTTCCACAAGACTTCTCATAGCCTTATGATAAATTCCCTCTCTTTCTTAAGCTACCTTCTAGTTCTTGCATCCAAGTGTCCTTACCAATTCAGCAGGGGAGTAACAAGTTGAAAATTTTATTTGAAGGAGTCCCTGAGTCATTTAGTCATATGTATCCATAAGATTAGGGAAAACTCAAATAGCGTGAAATGATGAATAATTCATTTCCGCCAACAAAGCTGAATGTAATGGTAATATACCTTGACATGATAATATTAAGAATAAAATAACTGGGCTTTTTCTAAAAGTTTCTTAGGGTACATTTGATCATAAGGAGGCACTTGTTCAAGCTAAGTCAAGCAAAAAGAGGAATTCATTGGAAGGACACAGAGATGGGGACCTCATAGCAGCAATGGTTGCAAGTACAGCTGGTACTCATGAAGAATCGGGGCTGGTCCATCAGAAGTAGAGCGTACTGTCTCTCAGGAGCCGAAGCCAGTGGCTGGATCCCTCACCTCTGCAGTTCCCCTGTATCTGATGCCCCAGCTCTAGCCCTACACTACCTCTTGCCTGCAGCAACCAACACCCTTGAACTAGTGTCTCTGGTCCTAGTTCCAACACCTGGAAAACAGAATTAATCGCCCCATCTTGGGGCGTGTCTACTCCACTCCAATCTACCGTGGACAGGTGAAATTGGGGCTAACACAGAAGCTGCCACTGTCCCTTCAGAAAGGGCTAGGGGGATGAGCAGTTCTCAGCGAGGGCATGAGCTGGGCCGTTCCCCCAAGAGGGACCCTCTGCACCCACATGCAGCACGTGGCAGCACCCACGTGCAGAAACTCTAGGGGCTGCCATGCCCAAGTCTCCCTTCAGAGCGACACTTCTCGGGGTGCTTTTGTCCAGAGAAGCTGCCTTACTTTCTGTTGTGTGACCCTCGCTCCCAAACCACACCTGATTGGAGCAAAAGGTGGTCCCTGTGATGGTCAGGACAGTGGTAAGAAATTCAAACGACCCGAAGCAAAAGAGACAAAGGGCGACTGGGAGGAAATTAACAAGCTCACTCAATGAGGAAGGACAGAAGTCATGGTGGCCTTGAGGACGAGTGGACCCAGGGACTCGGGGTACTCTGTCTGGACCTCTGTCTCTCCACCTGTCCCTTTTGCTTCTTCCTATGGGGTGTTTTCATTCTTACCTACGGCAGACGTCATCTGTGTTCACACAGGGAGCATGGTAGCTGGTTCCGCCGGCCCCACAACTAAGAAATAGCAGCCTTTCTCCAATTTGAGCTTGAAAAATCTTCCATAAGGACCCACTGTAGTGTACACCACATTCTGTTTATCCAGCCATCCATCAGTGGACACTTGGGCTGCGTGCACTTCTATTCTTTACTATTGTGAATAACGCTGCTATGAACATGAGTGTACAAATATCTCTTTGAGACCCTGTTTTCAATTCTTTCAGATATATACTCAGAAGTGGAACTGCTGAATCATATGGTAATTCTATTTTTAATTTTTTGAGGAACTGCCATACTGTTTTCCATACTGTGCTCCATTTGACAATCCTACTTTTGCTGACTTTTTTTGTCCAGTAGTCTATCAATTGTCAAGAGTGAGGAGCTGAATTTTCCAAGAATTGTTGTCGAATTGTCTATTTTTCCTTTCAATTCAGTCGATCTTTCCTTCACTCACTTTGGGTTAACCAACAGAGGTTGACACGTACATATATACATTTATAATTGTTATATCTAACTCTTCTATTGACCCATTTATCATTATGATTTACCTTTAAGTCTTAAAGTCTCTTTGTCTGATATTGATAAAGAAACCCTAGCTCTCTTATGGTTGCTGTTTGCATGGTGAATTTTTTTTCTATCCTTTTGCTTTCAACCTATTTGTGTCTTCGAATCTAGGGTGTTTCTGTTAAAGACAGTACACAGCTGGGTCTGACGTTTTGATCCAGTCTGACAGTCCCTGTCTTTTGAAGTTTTTAGTCTTTGCACATTTAATGACATTCCTGATATGACTGGATTTATGCCTATAATTTTGCTATTTGTTTTCTATTTGTCTTATGTCTCCTTTACTGGGTATTTGACATTAAATATGTTTTCATAAACCACTTGAATTTATCTGTTGATTTTTTCTACGTTTTAAAAGCTATTTTATTAGTGATTGCTATGAGGGATTACAATATGCATCTTAATTTAGCACAATCTGCTTCAAAATAATATCAACTTAATTTCAGTAAAATCTGGAAACTTTGCTCCATTATGGTCTCATCCCCCCCACCAATCCTTTGTGCTATTACAAACCCAACCATACAGTGTTACAATTATCACTTTGTCCAATCTTATATATTTTTTAAAAGGCAAGAGAAGAAATCGGACTTTCCTGGTGGTGCAGTGGTTAAGAATCCACCTTCCAATGCAGGGGACACGGGTTTGATCCCTGGTCTGGGAAGATCCCATATGCTGCGGAGCAACTAAGTCCGTGTGCCACAAGTACTGAGCCTGCATGCCACAACTACTGAAGCCCGCGTGCTTAGAGCCCGTGCTCCGCAACAAAGAGAAGCCACCACAATGAGAAGCCTGCATACCGCAACAAAGAGTAGCCCCTGCTCGCTGCAACTAGAGAAAGCCCGTGCACAGCAACGAAGACCCAATGCAGCCAAAAAAAAAAAAAAAGGCAAGAGAAGAAATGGAATCTACTTACAGAATCTTTTATATTTACCATTTCTGGTATTCTTCATTTCTTCTTGTGAATTCAAATCACTGCCTAGCATCGATTTCAGCTCGAAAAACTTCCTTTAGTATTTCTCGTAAGGCAGGTCTGCTAGCAACAAATTCTTCAGTCTTTGTTTATCTGAAAATGCATATATTTCATCTTCATTTTTTATATTTGCTAGACTGAGAATTCTTGCTTGACAGTGTGTCTTATGTCAGCATTTCAAGTATGTCATTCTGCTGCCTTTGGTCTCCATTATTTCTAAAGAGAAGTCAGTCGTGAATCGTATTCCCCTTGTTGCTTTCAAGCGTAGGAGCACACGTGGGCAAAAATGTCAGAGATTCACGGTGTTCTTGCCTGAAGCTTGGTCATGTTCATTAAGAAACGCTTCTCAGTTTGTTGAATGCCTTCGGTCAGTTTGCACAAGGCTGCAGTGACTATTTTTGACAGTGTTGTCCAGCTTTGGGAGACAGGATTTGTTGATCCCACTCTGTCGTCACGCCAGATGTGAGAAAATGGTTTGTCTTTCTTTCAGGTGAAATGGAAGCCGCTGAGGGGTATCAAACAGAGGAGGGACATAACCTGATTTTAAAAGATCACTCTGGGTACTTGCATTTATTAATTTTTGCTTCATAAGAAATTACCCCAAATGTATTGGCTTAAAGCGACACACATTTATTATCTCATTGTTTCTATAGGTCAGAAACTGGGAAGCAGCATAGCTTGGTGTTTCTGATTGAAGGTCTCTCGCAAGGCTGCAGTCAAGATGTCAGCTGGGGTTTGAATGGGAGGGGGAGACACACTTCCAAGTTCACTTTCTTGGCTGGTGTAGGATGCCTTAGTTCTTCACCACGTGGTTCTCTCCATAGGTCTGCCCACACCTTGGTGTCGATCTTCCTCCAAAGCAAGTGACCCAAGTGACAGTGTGACCAAGATGGAAGTCACAGTGTCCTTTTATGACCTACTCTGTGAATCTCACCCTGTCCCTGCTTTCTTCCATTCATTAGAATGAAATAGCTACGTTCAGCCCACACTCAAGAAGACGGAAAACTAAGCCCCACCTCTTGAAGACAGGAGTGTTCAAACACTTTGTGGTGGCCGGTGAGTCACTTTGGAGAAGCAGAAAGGAAGTTAAGGGATGAAAACTGTATACCGTCTAAATCGTACGCACCATTGCTAGATCATTCTCATCAGATTAAAGTTTGTTCATGGGATACTCTTGGTCAAAAACCATCATAGTTTTCCATTGCCTATATCCCACAGGAGGAAGGTTAAACTCTTCAGCATGTAATTCAAGGCATTCCACGATCTCACCCTATTTCCCATCCTTCTCTCCCACGGCCCTTTTCTCTTTCCTATGATCAACCAAACGGAGCCATTCCTTACTTCTCACACCTTCCCTCCTGGTCCTTCCCCTTCAAATGCCCTTCCCTCTAATCTCAACGTGCTCAAGTTCTGCCTACCCCTTTAGTATCTGCTCAAAAGCATTTCTCCCAAGAAACAGTGCCTAACCATCTCAGTCAGAAGTGAAATAAAATGGGCAGGAGGGAAAAAGAAAAAGAAATAAAATAAAATGTCGTTAAGATCTCACTTATATGTGGAATCTAAAAAAATGATACAAATGAACTTATTCACAAAACAGAAACAGACTCACAGACATAGAAAATAAACTTATGGTTACTAGAGGGGAAGTGGGGGGAGGGATAAATTAGGAGTTTGGGATTAACATATACACACTACTATATGTAAAATAGATAGTCAACAGGACCTACTGTATAGCACAGGGAACCCTACTCAATATTCTGTAATAACCTACATGGGAAGAGAATCTGAAAAAGAATAGATGTATGTATATGTATAACTGAATCACTTTGCTGTACACCTGAAACTAACACAATATTGTAAATCAACTATACTCCAATATAAAATAAAAAAATTTTTTAAATTAAAAAGTAAAAGAAATATGAACATAAAAAAAGAAGTAAAATCTTCCTTTTCTGAATTTCAGGAAAACTTTATCAGCACTTCTGTCACAGCCAGTGTCATTTTCACCTTCATATTTAAATGATCTCTCTCCTTAGTGAACTTTCAGCTTCTTGATGGCATGGGTCATGGTCGCCTTGCTCCCTCTGTGGTGTGTAGCCTTGCATCGAGAAGTTCAGTAAGTATTCGTTCATTTTACTTGCATCATAAGGATACAAATTATAGCCAAACAATACGGGAGTTTTGCAATCTTTGGATTTTTTTCCTTTATGATAAAGTGATTCGGCAAAATTAAAAAAGAAAAAACTCTGTGGATGTTTGGAGAAAAGACTGAGAAAGGCTCCTGCAGTGTCTAGGTGAGAATTAGTGGAAACCTGGACCAAGACGGTGGCAATGGAGATGGGGAGAAGTGGAGAGACGTGAGGTGTGTTTTTAAAGTGGGACTGATACAGGATTTGCCTTTGGATTGGATGGGGGAGGGGAAAGAAGTTAAGGATGACTTGCAGGTGTTTGGTATTGGTACCTGGAGCTGGTGGCCCCATTTCCTGAGAGGGGAAGAAGGCAGAAGCACCACGTTTGGGGTGCTAATGGAGATGTTGGGATGCCCATGGAGAAGCCTAAGGGTGAGGTCAAGGGGCAGTTGGGTCGGTAGATACACGAGTCCGGAGATGAGAGCAGACACGAGGGCTGCAGGTACAAATTTGAGTTCTCAGTATAGAGATGGCTTTAAAGATGGGGGTGAATGAGATCCCCTAGGGAGAGAGTGGGGAAGGGAAGAGTCCAGGCCTGAGTCCCGAGGCTCTGCAGTGTCTAGAGAACAAGTAGAGGGACAAGAGGGGAAGGAGTCTGAGACAGAACAGCTGAGCAAGGAGGAGGAAAACCAGGAAAGCGTGGGGCTGCCGATTCCGAGGAAGGACAGTGTTTCAAGAAGCCCAGAGCTGGGCTTCCCTGGTGGCACAGTGGTTGAGAGTCCGCCTGCCGATGCAGGGGACACAGGTTCGTGCCCCGGTCCGGGAAGATCCCACATGCCGCAGAGCGGCTGGGCCCGTGAGCCATGGCCGCTGAGCCTGCGCGTCTGGAGCCTGTGCTCCGCAATGGGAGAGGCCACGACGGTGAGAGGCCCGCGTACCGCAAAAAAAAAAAAAAAAAAAAAAAGAAGGCCAGAGCTGCCTGTGCATTTACTCTCGACAGATCAAACAGACTGAAGACCCAGCGGTGTTCTTTGGGTACAAAAGAAATGTTAACATTGGCAAGTGTAGTTCAGTGGCATGAAGGAGACGGAAGACAGAGAGGAGTGGGCTGAAGCACGACTAGAAAGTACCTATATGATGAGGAATTTAAATATTGGTGTGTTTATTATACACTCACCGGATAAGACCCTTCAGATTCTATCTGTCCAGCCTCCTAAGCCTCTCCCAAATGTACTCACTTCATCCCCACACCTGCCTCAGTCTCAGTTACCATCAAGTCTCACCTGGATGTCTCATCCACAGCATCCTAACTGGTCTCCCAACCTCCACTTTGCACCTTTCAAACCCTTTCTTTATGGCGGCCAGAATGACCTTCCGAAGACCCTACATCTGACATGTCACTCTTGTGTTTAGAAGCTTTCAACGCTACCCATTACCCCAGGGATAAAGTCCAAACCACTTGTAAGTTTCTAGGGCATATGGTTCCTGCTTGGATCTCTGTCTCTCTGTCTCTCCCTCCCCATTTCATCTTTGCTCTCCAGTCATTTTCTTTCACTGTCATCTTGGATTTTCTCTACTGTGCCCTCTTTGTATTGTTGTCCTCCAGGTTCAAGTCTGAAGTCTCAGATTAAACATCATTTCCCTAGAAAGGCTTCCCTTGACCTCTCTCTCTGAGGTCAAGCCCTCTCCTCTCCGCACTTTCCCTATCATCAGAGACATTTCTTTTCTCTTTTCTGCCATCAGCACTAGACAAACAGCGTCTATGGTTTACAGCCCATAACCCCGAGTAGGCACCCAGTAAGTATTTCTTGAATGGATTAAATGAAACCAACTTCTCATTTCCAAGGAAATTCTCCACCAGAATTTTTCTGAAATAGGAAAATATCTTAAAAGACTTTAGAGTCCTTGTTTTCAGTAATGCAAGCTAATTTGGACATTTTAGATGAGGCTTTTCAAAAACAACAGGTCAATGATATCTCAGGAGGCAAGACCTATAGATTCAATTATTCTCAATCATTGCTACTTACAGACGGAATGTAATGCTTTCACTAGGGATTGTTTGTTAATCCATTTAATAATAAGTAACTTTTTGGTTGAGAGAGAGGTGAGTTAAATAATCCCTGATTCCATAGAAGCAATTAGTTATACATACATTAATTTGCCTGCTTTCAATTCAGGTACTGTTAAAAAAAATTCCAAGAGGAAAAGTAGTGGGAGTTTAACAGCCATCCATTCTTTGCAACATTTTCAGAAAGCAAATGAAAATGAACCCTGAAACAAGCCAACAGCAGGGACACTCATTAACTTAATACACTTTAATCTCGTGAACAGAAGCTGGAGCCGAGTCACTTAATCCAGAGCCGCGGACTCCCACCTCTGGACACCTGCAAGACATCCAGGCATGGGTGTTCCCATGGCACCTCCAATCAGCACGACCCAATCTGAACTCATTATCGAACTCATTAGGGTCCCGTGCAGAAACCAGCCCGCCCCCTGGGCTCTCCGTCTCCGTGGTGCTCCACCCCTGGCACACAGGCTGCAAGTCTCAGGAACATCTTCCCGGGCTGTCTCCCTAGCCATCCCCAAGTCTGCTGCATCCTCAGGACTTAACCTCAATCTCGCAGCAGGCGCCCCGGCCCCTTCTTAGCCCCCGTTAACTCTCACTGAGGCCTCTTAACTTGCATTCCCAACTCCAAGTTCCCTCATCCTTATCATAATGACTAATACTTGCTGAGCACCTACTGTGTGCAAGCTCCACGCTTGGTGCTCTACATATGTTAATGCATTACATCTTTCCGAAGAGTCCTCAGTGAAAAACCCAACTCCCCACCACCACCTCCCCAAGCCTACCTCTCCCACTTCATCCAGGATTCTCGCTGGCCTGCCAGGTGCCAGTCTCAGTGGACTTTGGGTTCCAAGGACACACGCCCAGCCTCTGTCCAGCAGCTCTGTTCTCCTGGTGTTCTCTCCTTGGTCCGGCTTGCTTTGCTCCTTTTGCCATATGGCTCTCAGCTCAAATATAAGTTTCTTAGAGACTGCCAAAGTTGGGCTCTCCTATTATCACAGAATACCAACCGGCACTTGTCACGCTCTGTTATTGTCTCATTTGTTTGTTCCCTCAAGTGAATACAGGCTCCCCCAGGGCGAGGGTGATGTTCGATTTGTTCACCAATGAGCTCCAGGAGTAGCATAGTGCCAGGCACTTAGGGACACACAATAAGCAGTAGTCAGATGAGGAAAGAAGGGATGCATGAAAGCACAGTGCTGATGAGCCCTCTGTAAGTGGTGGCTGCGATCTATATATCTATACCTGTATATACATATATATTCTTTTTCAGATCCAGAATATATATATACTTTTTCAGATTCTTTTCCATTATAGGTTATTACAAGATATTGAATATAGTTCCCTGTGCTGTACAGTAGTAGGTCCTTGTTGGTTATCTATTTTATATACAGTGGTGTGTATCTGTTAATCCCAACTCCTAATTTATTCCTCCCCCTTCCCTTTTGGTAACCATAAATTTGTTTTCCATGTCTGTGAGTCTATTTTTTTTTTTTTGTAAATAAGTTCATTTGTATTATTATTTTAGATTCCACATATAAGTGATATCATAAACCCCGTGCCCAATAAGTTGGCCCTGCCCTTGTGCCCAGGTGTCAGATGAGGAAACTGATGCTCAGAGGACCAAAATTCCCAGTGAAAAAGACCCAGAGCTGGCACCGGAAACCAGGCCACGTGTGAGTCTAGTTCCAAACTTCTATCCCGATCCAATATCCCTGGGGCCCAAACAGGTTGCGCTTCTGGATCAGTACGGGTGGTTCCCTCTGCCGCGTGCAGGCTGCCCTCTGCGCCCCACCCCTCCGCGCCGGCCCCGCCCCTCCGCCCCGGCCCTGCTCTTCCCGCCTGGGATGAGGCGCGCGTCCGCAGGGGGCGGGGCCGCGGGGCCGCGCGCGCGCTCGCCCGTCCGCCGTGCGCATGCGCCGTGCTCGCGCGCGCGCTCGCGGGAGAGGATGGCGGGGGCCGCGCCGGGCGCCATCATGGACGAGGACTACTTCGGGAGCGCGGCCGAGTGGGGCGACGAGGCGGACGGCGGCCAGGTGAGGGGGGCACCGGGCGCCCCCGACGAGGACTGCTGGTCTCCGTCGCCGGCGGGCCGGCCCCGCCCCCGCCGCGTGGTCCAAGCACAGCTCGCCCCGCCCCCTCCCGCCGCTCGACCACCCCCCCGGGCGCGCGGCCTCTCGGGGGGCACTGGACGGTGATGCGTGGCGAGGACCCGGTCCCCCCCAGTGACGGTCTCCGGCCGCAGGGGCACCGCCCCCCAGTCGTGACCCGATCTGACCTTCCGATCACCCTGGGGCGGC